CTCTGTTTGAAAAATGTCGCAGTTTAATTCTCAGGTTGGCAAATGTTGGTGTAGTTAACAGCATCCGCAACAGCAAGACACCCCTTGATGTGTCTGGGAGTGTGTGTTGGAGCCTCAATCAAGGAAAGGACTGACTCCTGGTAGAAAAAGACTGATTTCCCTAATCTTGCTCTCCATTGGGACTTTTAAGGGAGAAATCTCACGAAAACGTTTATGTTAAAATGAAAGCGAAAGTGCTCAAACTGTAATAAGAATCTCAATTATAACTTTGGAAGAGCAGATGGGCGCTGGATTTGATAGAGAGGACCCTTTCAGCACATCTGTCTTTGATAACTTCTAATGCTGTGAGTGGAGCCTTTGAAATTAATTGGGCGGTCTAAAGCACTGTTTTTAATAATGCAGCTAAGAACTTTTTGTTATGTAGAACAGTCCTTACTGTGCTGACTTTGAGGACTGAATTAATTTTTCATGAGTTCATAGCGCTCCAGGCTACTGTGCCAGCCTCCCCAGTCTCTCAGGACTTTTTTTTTTTTTTTTTTTAATATAGGGGGATTTGTTTTGGGTTTCTCTTGAGGACTGAATTAATTTTTCATGAGTTCATAGCGCTCCAGGCTACTGTGCCAGCCTCCCCAGTCTCTCAGGACTTTTTTTTTTTTTTTTTTAATATAGGGTTATTTGTTTTAGGTGTCTCTGTATAAGAGAGGCAGAGGAACTTTCTTTTCTTCCTGGTCACTGTCTGGAAGAGTGATCTCAAGAATTAGAGAATTCTCTGGTAAGCCCTTATGAGCTGGACTGTCCTACTTTGCTACTACATATTCTATCTTCATCTTCCATTTTCCTTGCATATACCCTGTATGCCAACAGTAAACACACAGACATCAAACTGGGAAGACAAGTGGAGAAGGAGGTTTCACTCTTGGAGAGAAGCACCTTCTTCACTACAGAATATGAATGATGGATGAGATTGATGGCTTATCTTTTTCCTACTCATCACCAAAAAGGGGTTGTGGTACTCTACCCACCCATTTGGGCACCTAAGAGGATCTACCTTATGAGTCTAGTTGTTGGGGAAAAGGGTTTTTCTTGGTTAGACCATCTTAGGAAGCTAACTCAGTCTCCTTATATTCTGAGGCACCTCCCAAATATTCTAATCCACACAGATAGCTTCCATTCTCCAAACTCCTATATATACACGTATCGGGGGGGAAAAGTAGAAGTAGCTTTAAACCTGCCTTTCTTTCTCATCATTTCATTAGGTACGAAAATTGAAAAATGGCTGACTCTTACTTTTACATAATCACATTAGTAAATAGGAAAAAGGAAGGCAGGGCATATGGTTGTTCAGTTGTTTAGAAGATTTTGTCTAAGTGCTGAGACTGCTGTAAAGGTAATGGATAAGAGAAAAAGCTCTGAAAGCCTTCTCTGCTTTCCCTCCCATATCCTGAGGGCACGAAGTAGATGCCATTCCAGTGTGCCTCTAAGGTGTCTGGTACGTGGCTCCATCCAGCACTGATAACTTTCAGTCGTGGTTACCTGCATTTCTGTCTGTCATTCCCACTAGACTGAGATCCTTGAGAACAAGGATATATTTCGTCTTGTTCACAGATTTACCCCTAGTGCTCAGCATACAGTCTAAGTGCTCAGCAAACACTTGGTCGAATGAATGATTGAACAAACGAAAGAGCCATGTTGGAGCCTCATCTCAAAAGAAATACTAAAAAGTCATAGGCAAATACCCCAGATATTCAGAATTAATGATTCTGTACTTCTGTAACTTAGTGGTTTGGCATCATGATACTAAGAATCATGGAAAGAACAACAAATATGGAATATTGGACACTATGGACAGCATTTCTGTAACCTTCCTCATTAATGACAGTGTACTGATAACCGCCACCTCCTTCAGAGTTTATCAGCCATGCATTAATATGTGTTCATCATTTGCAGAGGTGAGAGTAGGAGCAAGGCATAAGGAAGATTTCAGTTCTTTGGGGGTGGATATTCAGCAATAGTCTGATGCCTATTGGTGGGATTCTCCAGGTCATAATGTGTATGCACAAGAATTTTCTCCCTCTTCATTAAAGGATAATTGATTGAGGTCATAAGATTGGAGAGTCCTAGGAGATTTTTAATCCAGTGCCATCATGCAAAGCCTACTACATCAATAAGACAGTTCCGTAGGGGAATGGAGGAGTAATTGAGATGCCACACCAGCTGGAATCCAGATGAAGATACATTTGGAAGCTTAATCACAATCATGTTCTACACTAAATATTCATCCGTCTGTCTCCCAAAGAGGACAGGAAATTAAGTTGTCAAGGGCAGGGAGGGTGAGGGTTTAGCTGAAAGAAGAAACCCACACCTTAGCCTTGATCTCTAAATATGCAAGACCGTCTTACGCAGTTGAGGCACAAGCCTCTTCTTTCCAGTCTTATTTCCTGAGACATATTTGAGCTGTTTATATACAATTTATCAGCTTTACAGTTACTGAAATGGACTGTTAAAATAACTCAGCCTCCTCACCATGGGATAAATACAGAGGAGCAATGCCATCGCAATAGAAAAATACTTTATTGAGCCAATACAGAGAAGTATTAAAGGTGTGTAAACACGAAGGAAGAAGCAGGGGAATTCCTAAACAGACTTGACAGGCTGTGATTGCACGTCTTGATACATGGATCCCAAAAGCTGAACTACACCCTGGATGTAGTCAGTAGAAATTACATTACATGTGTAGGTTTCCTTCCTCCCTTTCTTCCTTTTTAATTTAAAAGTTAAACTCTTAATGAGCTCATCTAAATGGGCCCATGAGATAAATTTCATCCCAAAGGTGATTTTAAAAAATGTATGTTGCTGCCGTTTTAAAAAAAAAAAAAAAAAAAAAAGGGAAAAAAGAAAAAATTACCAAAAAAAAAAAAAAAAAAAAAAAGGGAAGACAGAAGCAGGGAGAGATCCCAAAAGCTGAACTACACCCTGGATGTAGTCAGTAGAAATTACATTACATGTGTAGGTTTCCTTCCTCCCTTTCTTCCTTTTTAATTTAAAAGTTAAACTCTTAATGAGCTCATCTAAATGGGCCCATGAGATAAATTTCATCCCAAAGGTGATTTTAAAAAATGTATGTTGCTGCCGTTTTAAAAAAAAAAAAAAAAAAAAAAAAGCCTCCTTTGAAATTCTGGCCCAAAGGTGGAATCAAATATTGATAGTGAAGTTCAGTGTGTTATTGTTATCATGTGAGGAGCTCTCATTAGATAGGCTGCCTTCAGCTGCAAGTAATAGAAGAGTCTCCATTCAGATTAGTTTTAACAAGGTAACGTAGTACATCACATGATAAGGCATCGTTAGGTAAGGAATATTCCAAGTGCCAGATTATCAGGGCTCCTGCTGTTTCTGTGTGCTATGGAGGGCTTCTGCCTTCCTCAGTGTGCTGAGACCATCCTCCAGCTTGGGCTAAGAAAATTGTGGGATGTCCTAACCACCACATTCTGACATCTCACTCTCTAGCAGAAAAGGGAATCATCCCATTGCCATGCCTTTCTCAAAAGTAGAGTAAACTCCTCCTGGAAGCTCTTCAGTAGACTGTTTTCATTCCAACTTGCCTAGGCCAGCCCTTTCGCGATTACTTTATGACCACCTTTGCTTGGAGGTAGTGGTGGGAACACACCCTTTCTCTTCCTCTCTCTCTAGTTTTGCTATAGAGCACGTGATTTCACAGACAGAGACAGAAAGGGCGAGGGGCGAAATAATCACACCATGCTCCCTTTTCCTCTCAGGAGTTTGGGCATGCATACTCATGCACCTGGCGTATTTTTCAAGTCAGTGGGCCTAAGACTTGAACTGTGGAGTCAGCCAAGTGGGATTGATCCACCTTTGTCATCATTCCACTGGCTATCACTCTTTTTTGTAAGTTTATTTATATTTATTCTTGATAGAGAATGTATGTGTGAAAAAAGAGGGAGAGAGAGAAAGGCGTCTTTGACAAGTCTTAGTCACACACTGTCTCCTTTCCCCAGCCCATCAGCTAATCAGGATCTTAGGCACATGCACCCCTGGAATGTTCCAGGTCAACCAGACCAGGGACCTGAACCATTGTCAGCCCTGTGGTTTCCAGCACTGCAGTTCAGCACACCACTGGCTTCACCACTCAGGCTGGCACTCGTCCTCATTGTACCTTCTGGAATATGACCAAGGAAGGCTACCCAGGCCATCGCTGAACTCACAGCATGGGCTGTAGGGCAGACAGTCCTATATTCAAATCCCACCTCTACCACATTACAGCTGTGTGACCTCAGTGAGTCACTTAGCCTTAGTGAGCTTACCACCCTTTGGGTAAAATATGGACATGGGGCTGGATCCCACAGAGAGCTTGAGGGAATGAAAGCAGCAAACACAATTGTTATTTCCTTTATGCGTACGCATTTTCATATAGTGACTCTTGCTGCCAACCTGCTAGCTAATAGGCTTTCCTTTTCCTAAGTATAAGTCTCCATTTTATGACCCCGCCTTCTTACATGTGTGGTATAAAGTATAGCATAATTAAACATATGTATATATGGCTATATTGAGAATGGATATGGCATATATGTGTGTTTATGTGTGTAATACTTGTAATACATGTAAGCTGGGTATGCGTGTATACATTCACACTCGTCATACACACACGCACATATTGATCCAGTTACATATTAAGGAGGCAGCCCAGCTTCCACATTGTTCCAGGTGTTCTGGTTTAATGCTGCTCTAAGTGTGGTCCACAGAGTGGTGCCAGTCAGCAAGCCGTGTGTCATGGCCTGTGACACTGTAAGGAGAGAAACTGAGTAAGCGTTTAGACACATTTATAGTAACCTGATGTTGCTAAGAGATCCAAGTCCATGTATGTTTGTGTAATACTTCATTTTTATATCCTACAAAAGTATCTGTCTGTGACAAGTTGGAAGTTTAGAAAGCGGCCCTTCACAGATGATCTGAGAAGCTGGCCAGGACAGACACCTACTGCAGCTGCTACTTGCCTTCAGGGGCTACGGTTTATTCGGAGTGAGAATAGACGACTACACAAAGTTGTTAAACAACAGTGCGAACACAATGATGAAAAACAGTGTCATGAGGCAGTCATAAATGGCCCAGTGCCACATCAGTGGCTGCGATAATACTTGCCACAGATGTCCACAGGAGGGCGAGGTCGCAGCGAGGCGGTCGTTGGGAGAGTCTTCCTTAAGCAGGTGGATTGGTTTTGATTTGTCCTGCATCTCAGGCCTCCTGTCAGGGCCTCTCTGTCCCTTCTCATTCAGCAGCCTGATGGGTTAATCTCCTGGTGAGCGAGGGCCTGCGAATGAAACTGGATGGAGTTAGACGTCAGATGGCGGCAGGCACGCACTAAATATCCTGCTCCATTATCCTTGCCGGGGCTTTGATGTTGGTATAAAACATGTCAGATTACACGGGACATCATGTCATACGTCAAATCAGTGTTGGGGCTCCATCGTGACACTTTAATTAGTTGGGCTGGAGGAAAAGGGTGTATTATTTTTCTGTTTCAAGGCAAAGACCCTAACTCCTACTGAGAACTGTTTGGTTTTGTTCAAGCCTGAAAGTAGACTTTTCTCCTTTTAAAAACACAGCTTGTACCCCCTAGCATAGTGGCCATAGTGTCAGCTAATGAAAAGAGCTGTTGACCAGGATGTGTAAAACCTCGCTGAACTCTAGCCTACCAGGAACGACTTGTGTGAGCCAGCCAAGCCCCCGCGTCCTCATCTTCAGCAATGTAAATGCTCATTAATTATTGACTTTGCAGGTTTCTCAGTGTTAGAAAGTGGCTTCGGATCCTTTTATGTATCCCACAGGAGTGTTAGTTGTCAAGGTGAGATAATGCTTAGGAAAGGCCTGTAGAAGCAGCCAGTGATGCTGCATTGACAGGGTGAGAGAGCTGGGGGAGTTGAGGGAGATGGTGCGGGTAGGGACCTCTGATTTCAAAAGCCCTTAGCAGTTAGCAGCAGTTTGCCCCACACCTGAAAACATCTTGTTTTGCCTGTCCCACCATGAGAAAATGCAAGTGTGGGATTCAGGGATACATTCCTCCAGAAGAGTGTCCAGGCGTGACCAAAACCCTTTGCCATTTGTGAACGTGCCCCTGAGTAGTGAGAAACCTGTGCATTACTTTCTGTTCTCAGAAGGTCATTCGGCTTAATACTGAGTGAAATTTCTGAACGCCAATACGCCACATTCATTTTGACATCTACACTCCTGTGTAATTAAGACCTCAGGTCTGGTGCTTGGTTTATCAGTGTGTGTCAGTTCTCATTTACATAAGACTTTGGTTTTTCCCACATCCCTGCATAGACACTGCCAAAAAAAATACTGTTAACAATGAAAGGGCTGTGGGTAGAGTTACAGCCCATCAGGTCCCTAATCCCTGCTTAATATTTCCCTTAAAAAGAACATTGCCCTGTTTGGAAATTAAATGCCATGCATTTAGATGTTCTTTATGGAAGGGGAGGGAGGTAGATTTTCCATTGCTTTATTTCGAGCTTGAAAAACAACCGATTTCATGCCCCTTATTCAACTGTGAAAGCAGTCTCTGCCACGTAACTGGAGGGTGGCTTCCTGTCTCTTAGAAACAACAGGCTGAGGCACTTCTCACATCTCCTAACTGGATGCTGCAAACGGAGGCTGGCCTCAAAGGTTCCCTACATGTGCTCATCTAATCCTGTTTATTCAGACTGAAGTCTGTTGGGTGTAACTGAATCCTACAAAGCAGGAAAGTGATTTTGGGGCTGCTGGAAACCATCCTTCCCTCCCTGCAGAGCTTTCTCCGGGCAGAAGCGATGGAGACCCAACATTTGGATGCCTCCTCTACATCCAGCACTAATGGCTACAAGGCAGATGGGTTTATTTTTGCAACTCCAATGAGAAAAACCATATCCAGGAGAAGTTAGGACACTTTCACAAGACCACACATGTAGCCAGTTATATGACCTGGAAAATAGTGCGGCTTCTATGGGCCTTCATTTTTACCTCAATAAAATGTTTTCATCTGTAAGATTAGGGGTAGGAAAAGGAATCTAGTAAAAAAGCACAGAGAAAGGAGTTCCTGCAGTTTATGTAACAGGATTGTAGGTCCTAAGGATCTTTTTAAAAGTCATCATGGAAAGATGTTGGCGTTGCCTTCAAGGAACCTCCCATTCCATCTACCATGTACAATTGCATGACCTTGGACAAGTTACTGTCGAATACCTCTCTGGGCCTCAGATACTTTTCCTTGGAAACAGATAACTATAATGCTCTCTTGGTGTTGTTGATAGGAAGAGTAAATGAAAATTCTTATAAAGTACTTGGAAGAGTAACCTTCCATTAATGTTGCTTGTAGTTAGTAGTAGTATTACTATTACTCCTATGATTGCATTGTTCATCAAGATGGCTGTCCCTTTCCAAATGAGACAAAAACAGCAATTGAGTCCACTAGGTGAGCTTGTCCCCTCACAGCCCATCCTCAGTATCTGTCCATCCAGTCCTAGAAGGCGTCCAAGAATCCAGGTCAATGGTTCTCAACCTCAGTTCACATCAACATCATCTCAGGAACTTTAATACCAGTGCTTGGATCTATACCCAGAAACTTTTATTTAATTGATATGAAGTTTAGCTGGATATCAGACATTTAAAACTTACCAGATGATTCTAATGTTAAGCTCCACCAGACTGGTAGAAGGTCCTATTAATTTTGACATTGAATAGAAAACTGAAAATATGAGTGGTATAAGCCATCGTTTCCCAAGCACAGTGTTAACCACTGCTATTACACGAGATCCTATTAGATATTGGGTCATCGGAAAAGTCATGATGCATTTTTGCTAGAAAAAATGCTGAAAACAGAGGCTGGCCTCAAAGGTTCCTTCTATGTGTTCTTCCAGTCCTGCTAGAAAAATGCATCATGACTTTTCGGTGACCCAATAGTTAGGATTAGTTCTATGATAATAGTCCTGCCACTGTGTTTCATGTAAACTAATGTTTAATGTGAAAAAATATAACTAGTGTATAAACTCCATAAATGTCTTTGAAAAACTAAAGGAAATACACATACACACACACACACACACACACACACATATGTAAACTAGAGTTTCAAGTTAATCTCTGCACATGCATAGTAAAAGAATGACTCTGACACATAAATGACCAAGGTGTGAGAAATGGGATATGGGAGCTAGCAGTGGGCATCGTGATTAAGGTGCTGTTTGAGTCCGGAACCTGGTGGCTTCAAAATCACATGTATGCATGTGTGCTTAAAATCCCAGGAGGAGAATGGAGAAGGGATTATGGTGTGGCCATCCTACCTTGTGTGCGTGTGTGTAGGGGGGTGATTTCTCACTTTCCCTCTCACTCTCTCTCTCTAGCAAAAGCATGTGTCCTATGGCAAAAATCTTAAAACAAAAAAAGGAAGAAAAGAAATATAGTATGAACCACCTTTAATAATAATTCTGATAAATGTGATTATCATAAAGAGTAAAATAATTTTCATTCAGTGATTATAAAATGTTCAGCATTTTTAAAAATGTAGATTTATGAAAGACGGTGAAACTTCTAACCAACATAACACAAAAGTCTTGGTTTCTGGTAGCTTATTTTTAGGATATAGTTGGAAATTTTAAAATGTTGTTTCTTATTCTCTCAGAACTGTAATTATAGTTACTTTGTTATAGTAACACAGTAAATGATAATGACATCTCACATTTTCATAGTACTTTCCCATTGACAAAGCCCTTCCACTGACATTATTTAATTGGGCTTCCTGATAACCCCCTGAGGTTGGATTGTTAGCTCCTTGTTACAAAAGGGGAAAATGAGACCCAGTGGGGTTAGTTAGGAGGCCTATTATACAGCTACCACATGGACTGGACTGTAGGACTGGAACCACATCATCCAATTCTGAGGTAGTGCCTTTCATTTTCTACCTCTCTTGATCTTTTAAGTCTTGTCCCTATTGCCGGCTCTCTCATCCACATTAAGTTATATTGGGTCATCAAAAAAGCCATGATGAATTTTTCTATGTTTTTCTATACAAAAATTTGTCACAACTTTTCTGATGACCCAATAAAATCCTTCAAGGGCACCTCTACCTGTGTGACAAAAGAAAACCACCCAGTAACTTCCACACAGGTCCTTTCATTTATACTATGAGCAATTCCACTCTTCCCTCCAGCCAACAGCCAAAGTCATCGTGATGACTCAGTTGTGACCCTCCTTGCATACGCTCTGCTATGGCTGCTCATCTCGTTTTGTGTAAATTCACAGCCCTGCTCTGCTGGGCCCCTGTCTCCCACTTCCTGTCACTCTTCTTTCTCCCTGGGCCCTGGTCAGCTGTGTCTCCTCTGCATTTCTCAAACAGTACAAGCATTTGTCACTTCATGCCTGGACAGCACTGTCCCATGTAGTAGGAACACTCTTCCTCTTCACCTGCCAAGAAAAGCTCTCACATTGGTGCTACCTCCATGAAGTGCAATGTCCTGACCTCCGAATGGAATGAGATCCCCCGCATTACTCTTTCATGCAGCCAATGGAGCTTTTCTTCATAGCTTTTATGATGATTTGGAATTATTTATTGGTGTGATGACCTGTTTAAGGTCGATCAGAATATAAGCTACATGCGGACAGAGGTAGAATCACCGTATACTTTTCCTAACACTCCAGTCTCAGACCCTGGTACAGTAATTCACACTGGTTACTGTTCAATAAGTATTTGTTGACTTAATGAGCAACGTATGAAAAGGCTAAAGAGTAGCTTACCCTCTCTGAGGATAAGGTGCAGCTTTGACTGATTGCAAGCTGGGAGATATGATGCCCCTGCAGGAACCTCGAGAGTGATCAGGGCCATTGGTAACGATATTGTGCTGAAGGCACTGCCTATACCTGACTAGCACTACTGCCATATGGGAATACCCTGGACAGGAAATGCGAACCTGCCTGTGGCTTCCACAGAAACAATCTAGTTAAAGCAGGGGTAGAATACCCTGAACCCTGGCTGCCCCAACTTTTCCATGGTTCTCCCCACCTCAAAAGTTCCTGAGGTGGCACACAAGAGCCCTGGGGTCGCAGTTTTAAAACTCCGTACATAGCAGACAAATACAGCACCAGAAATCTGAAATCTGTATTCTGTTCCCAACATGCCACTCTACTTCTAAGCCAAGAAGTTGTTTTTATTGGCCAAACTTCAGTTCCTTTACCGTTAAAATAGGTGTAATATTGCTTATCCTACATAAATCATTGGATTGTTTTGTAGATAAAATCAAAATGAAAATATTTTGAATAGGTAAAGGTACTTTATTAACACATTATTATTATTAACACATTATTATTTGAGCCTGAGTGACACAGGTATGATTCCTCCTCCCTAAGGGTTTTTAAATTAAGGACAATGTGGTGATTTCTATAACTACAAGGACATTCCAAAGATATAAACATAGTGAAAGTACAAATGCAATTACTCACTGGGATTATGGATTTAGGTGGGTGGTCAGAAAGAGACACTGTTCTTTAATAGGTCTCCACCTGTGTATCAGGACACCTGGGCTTGAGCCTACCTTGTCATCATTTACTAACGGGGCAAGTTTAGTAGATCACATGACCCTTGGAAGCCTCAGTGACCCTGTCTCTGAATGGCCACTGGTGGAAAGTAGAGAAATGGTAATGACATTATGGTAGTTTGAAGGATCAAATGAAAAGTTGACTATGAAAGGTCTTTGGAACCACTAAAGGGATTTAGCCATGCCAGGCATTAGTATAATCCCAGCACTTGTGTATTAGCTCAGGGCAGTCAAGAAGTTAGTTGTCAGGGAAGGCTGCCCAGAACTCCGAGACGTATCAAGAATGACTTGAATAATGGTGGGAAGAAGACAAGTCAAGTCAGAGGACAGAGCTTCAGGCAAGGGTGCAGCCTGGAGGGCTGACTTCCAAGCAGTTGGCAGGACCAGCCAAGATGGTAAGTCATTTCCCCCTTTCTAGGAGCTGAAGTAGCTCCAAAAAGCTCTGGATTACAAAGCACAGTACGGCACCCAGGTGGGCAGACTGTGTTAAAAGGATCCCAAGTACACTTGGGGATGTTTGTTTTGAGAGGATTAACTGGAGCCTCATGGATGGAGAACCTGCAGATGCTAATTCCCCCTAAATTATAGTGGATTCCATTGGAATTGTGTGTTCTCTACCAACCTAGCCATGGCCCTCCTTCTCTCCCTCCTCTTCCACAGAATGCTAAAATGAATGTGTCATCGTAACTGAGATGAAAGACCTTGAAGTTTATTTTCCACTTCCCTCCAAGATCTCTTGTTTGCAAAATACAGAAGGATCTAGGTTACTAATCTACTTCCAGTTATTTCAAACCAAGAAAAAAAAAAATAATGCATTCTAGGCATTCACGTTTCTGACTTTTGCAAACCGAATCACCTGGAGACCCTGTAATACATGGCTGAGCTCTACCTCCAGGGTTTCTGCTTCATTAGATATATTTGGGAGGAGTCCCCAAATTTGCATTCTAACAAGTTCCCCAGTGACACTGATGGTGCTGCTCCCAGGCCGCTGAGTCATGCGTTGAGGGCCTCTGAACTAGGAAAATGTCAAAAGTATTTTGCAAAGAATCTGCTCAAAGAAAAGAGAATGCAAACTCTAAGTCCTAAGACAGTGTTTCCTTGGGAAATGAGGTACAGTCCCTCAGAACTGAAAAGTTATCTATTTCTGGGCCAGTCAGGTGGTGTGGTGGTTAAGGAGGTGGCTGGATCCTACATGGCCAACTGCATGGTTTGAGTCCCTTACCCGGCAGCTTGGAAAATAAACCAGGATCACGTGCAATGTGTGCTCAAAATCCTGGAAGGAAAATGAAAGACACGGGATTGTGGCATGGCCATTGCCCCTGGGGGGTCATTTTTCACTTTCCTTCTCTCTCAGTCACTTTCTGTCTCTCTTCCTGGCAAATGTGCATGCCCCATAGCAAAAACTAAAGAAAAAGAAACGAAAGAAATAAAAAAGACAAAAGGTAAAAATCTATTAAGTCAAATATACTTATTTTCACTTGGATTTTATAAAGCACATCAATGGCTTACAGGATCAGTGTTTTCCTATCGTATGGGAAGTGCGAAAGTCTGGAACAGAAGTAGGTTATTCCCTCACCCATTCCTCCTCCTCTTATTCGCATACCCTCTTCTCTTGCTGATTATTGTTGTCAAGTCATTTTTTCACAGCCCTACTGCCATCACATCTCCAGATCCCCGAACATTTCTTGTGAATGCCTTGAGGCCACCAATATGTGCCCAATCTTCTTCTACGTTTATTTACAGATCATTCTGTGCAAAGCCTGGGCTGCTTTTGCTAATGTTTTCAAAGCTTTGCAAAACACTGGACAGTGAGTCAACAGATTTGGGGTTTAAGCTCTGGCTATGCCAGAACTTACCATGTGATTATGAAAAAAAAAAAAAAACACTTAAACCTCTGGGTAGGCTTTTACTCACCAATTAAAAGAATTATTCTAGCTAGCTTAATGGCTCTTTTTCATTCCCCTTTTTAAGCTTCTTTCTTTTTCTTTTGTGAATAAGAGAGATGAGGATAGGAGAGAAAGAGACAAACACCCTCAGTGAGACAACATGGTCCCAATGCCATGATCCAGCCTTCAGCTATTCCCAAATCATAGGCATTTGGGTGTCCACAGGAGGTTCCAAGACTTGAACTGGAAACCTTCCCATGTGGGATTATCTAACCGAGTATCATGTGTTATCCTTTGCCACACTCTGGACTCATATGACCCTTTTCCCAGGAAAGTTCACATTGGCACATTAATGCAAAATGTTGCTTACATTTACTAGACTGCCTAAATAATAATATAGTAATAACAAGCAGGAATAATAGCTGGCGTTTATCAAGTACCTAGTCTGTGCCAAGCAAAAGCACTTCACATGTGTTACCATACTTAATCCTTGCAGCAGTGGTATGCAGCTTCTAGATGAGAAAACCATAGCCAGAGATGAGAAGGAATTCCCTATAGGTCACCCAGCTGGTAGGCAGCAGCATGGGGCTTGAAACATCCCAGTGTCCTGAAGCTGAGAAGTAGTGCCCTGGGCAGGTATAACCTTGAGTTAAGAGTGGACCCTGTTCTAGTTGATTTTTCAGATTCCCTTGAAGTCTGAAGTCTAGAATTCACAGATTTTTGATCCCAAGTACTTATAACCAAACACGGAGGAATGACCCATGGTATTCTCAAAGCCTCTATGCATCAAACATGGTACAAAAGTTTAGAATTTAAAGGATATTTGGGGACTAAACTCAGAAAAGCAAAGCACCGTAGAGCTACACTCTGTCCATTCTTATCGTAGTTTCTGACCAGAGGCAGCTTCCTTTAAAGGCAAGGGGAAGTAGCCCATCTCGTGGGCAGGTCAGTAATGTGACGAGATAAAGGGCAGTTCCTTAATGAAAACCACTCTGCCTCCTGCCAGCAAAGGAGTTTTCTTAGTGCATTTCAAGTCCTCTAACACCTCTTCCCAGATCAATGGCTTTTCATAAATGCACCAGGAGATCTTTGAACCACTAATGCTTCAGGGGCTGTTTAGGTTTGGAGTCAAACTGTTTAATATAACTCTCCTCCAAGTCTGGCTCTATTGAAAGGTCTCAGGAAACAAGGCGGGGGAATGTATAAAAAGCCGAACCGCTGTGGCCAAGTGGCATCCACCCTCCCACCCCAGCCTTCTGTTTATACAAGCAAATTGGACCAGGCTGATTATATTCGGGGCGGAAGGAGGGATGAAATGGCATGTGGATCATGGTGGAGAGTTGAATGAAAAGAAATCAGATTAAAAGTGCCTTTTGATTGGAATGGAGTGAGTCATTTGCTTAGAAAGGGGAAAAAGCCATTGATTGGCTTCATCAGCAAATTAAGTCATCAACAGATTAAGTATTACAATAAAAAGTGCATTGAGCCTGGGAAGTGTAGGCCAGACTTCAGCACATTCCTGGGAAGGATGAGTACCGTTTAATGTAAGTACTCACTCAAACGTTTAAGCCGAGGAATGGGACTTTTCATAAGGTATTAATAGATGACCTTGAGCATCAAGAGATGTCATACAGGAACAGCAGTCCTCCTTCTGGCTAAAGTGGTGCCCACACTTACTTTCACAGAACTCTAGGTGGGAATGATAATGGCAAAATAAAAATCGTCGGCATTTCCTGAAGATAAACATGCCACGTGCTTTACCTCATCTGCTGTTATTAACTGTATTCAGTTGGGGAAGCTCAAACCACAGGGCGGATGAACAACTTAACAATGGCACATTAGTCTGTGATGGGAACCTCAGTTATCTCTTACTCTTAATCACCATCCCATGTATGTCTACTCTTGTGAACATGATCCATGTTCATTGATTTAATGTTGCTACTAAAGATCTATGACTTCATCATTATTTCAGAATACCCTTCATTCAGATTTCAGACCCCTTGTGGTCGGGGACCGTGTGGTCCTTTCATTTTTACTTCTGCCACAGTGCCTGGGATAGTAGAGACCTGATCCCTATCCTTTATTCTTAAGAAGTCCATCTAAAAGAGTTTAAAAGCTTTAGAGTTTGGGGAGTTATTCATACAAGCTCACTGAATAAAGTATTGTTTTAGGTACCAGATGTATATAAAAATAAAAAATAAGCCACTAGAGGTAACAGTCATTAACATTTGGGGATATAACTTTCTGTGATTTTTCTTATATACTTCTACACAGAAAGATACACTTTAAATAGGATTATGCTGTGCATGTTGGTTTGTAGCATGGCTTTTTTTGCTAACAATAGATCTTGGGCATCTTTCCATGTCAATAACTGCAGCTCCTCTGCAGTTTGTAGGTGATAATCCTGCACAGTATTCCGTTGTGTGGTTCTGTCATAATTTACTTAGTCCACACTTGATGGACTTGGGTTGAACCTGGCATTTACTTATCTCTACAATGAAACAGAAAATATTGTACTTACAACTTGATGCTTGTCTTTTAGTCCCTGTTTTTGACCCAACTTCTTGAAAACTTCACATTGGAACATTTGCTTGGATTGCAGTACTTCTAGAAATAGCAAAAAAATATACTTTGTCTATTTCAAGATGCCTCAGGGACTTATACAGTTCAGTTTTTAATATAAAAATTAGGCTGTGGCATTTCCCTTAGAAGAGAAGAAAATCATGGGTGCCCATTTCTGACTCAGTTCATCAGAATATTCTAATCTCCTCTCCTGTTGAGAATTCTCTCCTAGGGAGTCACCACACTAGGGAGCTTGAAGTCATTTCCATAAATACCCTGCCTGTGAAATTGCTGTGGACAGCCAATAAACCCAGGGTCAAAGGTTAATGAATACCAGCAAGAGCATAGGGCAAGGAGGCAGGCTGTGTTTTGAGGGTTTGGGGAATGAACCACTCACCTTTTAAGCTCAGCAACCTCAGTGCTTCCTGGGGAGTCACAGGTGGACCCCGCTATGCTAGGACTGAGTCAGATACAAAGGAGGAACTGCGAGAGAGTTCAAGGTGGTAATGATAGATAATAAAAAGTGCAGGCCGCAGGAGCCATATTTATTATTTTCCATCAGCCAAATGAAGGCCATTTTTAGATTTAGATTTTTTTCGATGAGTTGTCACCATGGTGACGGAATTGGAAATTCTTTTTCCGACAACATTGCTGTTAAACCATTTGTTTAATTATTTGCATTCCATGACTCTTAAAGGCTCCTAGAGCTGTCTGCTTTTCTCTCTACCAAGAAGAGCGTTGATCTTGGCTTCTCTTGGGTTCCTTATAACAGGGAGATACTGGTTTCCTGGTTGTCTGGTCTCTACCAGGTATGGAATGAAGTTTCTGACTCATAAGAGAATAATACCAAAGAAATGAAAGAAGAGTGACGAATTTATCATCTGTTCCAGGGAAGTGGTTTTGAGCCTCTTTATGTCTTCTCTGGACTCAACTGATTTGATCTCTTGTACTTCACGTCTACAAAATCCCCACAGAATACAGATGTTAGAAGGAGAGTACAGTAAATACAACCCTCTGGAATGAGCCAGACACTCAGAAGACCGTGTTGCTTTTTCTGTTTTGAGGCTGGAACCATTTCTGAATTCACCCCTTTCCTTCTTTGAGTAATAGTTTAAGATTCCAGATGGATTCAAGATAATTTTTTAAGCTAGTGGGCGTGGGCATGCACATAAGGAAGAGAGAAAAATCTCCCCCCAGTGGGACCTAGTCATGCTGCAAAGATTTTTTTTCCTCCATTCTCCAACCTGTCAAGATCCTGGGCACATGCATGTATTTTCCAAACTGCCAGCACTGGGATTAGAACCAGCTATGTGGGATCCTGCTCCCTCTGCACAGAGTTTAACCACTGTGATCTGGGGCCAGCCCAAGGTCATTGTTTTTAAATGCCTTTTCTTAACTCGCCAGCTGATTCCAGAACAATACCTGAAAGGGTCACTTCTAAACATCCTTCTCTGATCTGGCCCAGGTTATTAGCAGAAGAGGACCGCTTCCTACAACTTCCAACTCTACCCTCACCCACACTTTCTCTCAGACTGTTCTCTGACAAAGTACCAGCCGCAGTAATGAATAGCGCTGTCCCAGTTGGAAGTGATTTAATTTTACATGTTGTTGTTCCAGTCACGAGGTTTGGAGCAGTCTAGAGACTTCAGGCGTCACAGCTGTTCTCTAAGCTTCTGTACCCGTAGGTAGGAATCGCTTCAAACTGAACCTGTGTCTTGGGTTCACCCCTTTCCTCCCTGTCTTTTATTATCACCCACATTACTCTGCTACTCTTATTGAAAGGCAGGCATGGGGTTGGTTGGTTCTGGGTCATTTCCAGTTTGCTTCTGGAGGGTGTGTGTGTGACAGCTTGAGCAAGGCATGGAGCCCAGGCTGTGTGTGTCACACTCTGTTCCCACCGACAAACATTGCTGCTCGCCTCCCTGTCCAAATCTGATAACATGTATGTTCTCCGGTCCCTGCACTGTTGCTCTGGAAACCAAGGAAGCTGCACAGTGTGGAATAGGATCAAGGCCTAGTCAGCCTTACACGTCTCCCAGATGCTCCAGTGACTTCCAGCAGGAAACATGCATCTGTTGCCACTGTCCAGTGAGAGGCATCCGACTGCTAGCTTTCTCTCCCAGAGGAGATGGCTGCCTCCTGAAGTTAGAGACCTTGGGCCTGCCACAGCTCACCTTGGGAACCACTCAGTGCATTGGATGATGGAGACTGGAAACACAGGGTCTCAGCCAAACCCATCCCTGCTCCCGACTAGAAAAGGCACAGTAGCAGGGCTCAGGAATTAAGAGCCCTTACCATATCCTCCCCTTCCTTCCTCCAGGGGCAGCCTCGCCATCCTTGAGTCGCTGCTGCTGAGTCCCGATGCTGGGTCATCAGTACCTTGCTCTTAGGATTACGTTCCTGGCTCAGAGGCTTACCAGCTGGGTGACCGGGCATGTTCATTTTTCTGATCTCCTGTTGGTTATTCATGAAAGGAGAGTAATATGCCTACCTCGAAGCTATGTTTTGAGGATAAGTAAAACAGCACACATGAGGTCCATGGCTCAGGACACACCAACATGACCTGCCGGGAGAACCACATTCTCCAACTGTAGGATGGGAATATTTCCACCAGGAGAGAAAGTTGGGCTTTCACTTTCCGTCCACTCAATCTTTACCCCTTTCTGGAGACGCAGTTCACTCCTGTCTCAAGGGCTGGGTCAAGCACAGCTAAAAACTCTGCCTCTGCTCCCATCCCCCACCTCCATCTCAGCATTGTTATGTCTGCTGGCACCCTGCAGGTGAGCGCTTCCTCAAGGGGAGGAGTGGAGCTGGGCAGTCTGAGAGTTTAAGGGAAAGAAGGCAGGGGGAGGATTACAGAGGAGCAGAGAAAAGAGAACGAAGTAGAAATGTAAGAGGAATGAGGAGAGGGAGGGGAGAAGCAGTCACTCATGAGCTCAGAAGTATTCTCCGTTCACAGAAGCCTTTGGGGAATTACCTGAGGTGGACCCGGCAGCCCAGAGCTGCTTCTGCAGCAGACCATAGGGCTGTGAAAAGCTTTAGTCTTACGCTCAGCCTTCTTTAAACAAAAATTGCACCACCACCACCCTCTTTTCTTAATAGAGCCCTAAAAGAATTTAACCTATTTTTACAATGAACAAACTGTTTTTCACAGTTATCTAGGAAACCAAACCCTAAGCCCTCCAAGTGAGGGTGCTCAGTCCGCACTGGGGCACGTGGGCTGCACAGAGGAAATCCCGCCAAAGAGTGGGCACTCAGCATCCTGGATGTTATCGGCGGTGCACAAAGTGGCATGCATCTGACGCTCACATGGTTCACCAAAAAAAATTAGCATCTAAATGATAAAAAAAAAATGTGATGATACCTTGATTAAGAATTAATTCAGGAACATGGGACCAGCAGATGGCATAACGGTTATGTTACTGGACTCCCACATCATCGAACATAGCTTCAAATTCGTGCTAGGTGTGTGTGTGTGTGTGTGTGTGTCCAAGATCCTGAGAGGAGAATGAGGGAGAAGGGATTGTGGTGTGGCCATCCTCCCTGGGGGGTGATTTCTTGCTTTCTGTCTCTCTGGTGAGCGCACGTGCCCTATAGCAAAAATCTCTCTATATTTAAAAAAGAATTAATTCAGGAACATGCAGAAAGGGAGATGCCTGGGTAATGGAAGTTATACCTTCCATTCCTTTAGCATCTTCATGTATGTTAACATCATTTTAGAGTTGACCACACCAGTAGTACAAACCACGCAGGACACTTACCAAGATGGGGATGCTTTTTTGCTTAATACCTATTCATCTTTTGCTCCTGTTCTTGAACGAAGCAGGGCTTTCAGCTGGGGTGGGCTGAATTCTCTCTGGGTACACTTACTGCATTTAAACCTAGAGCACACACTCGATTGTTCATTGGCTCTTGCTGTCCTCAGGAGGGGTGCCAGAATTCTGCTACCTCTGCACACCCAGAATATTATCTAAAATACACCCAGAGTATTACCTAAAACAGCACAGGGCCTGGAACCTCTTAACATATTTGCATGTTACCCAGAAACCCACCATATCTAATAAGATGATCTTGGGTGCAAGAAACTCCACCTTCCACTGAGTTTTCAGCAACAGGATCATTTTTGTACAAGACAAATACATGGAACACACAGCATGTATCAGCTCAGTCTATAAACATCAGTGTCCCAGAAAGGTGACTTTGTTTTTTCTCACTCAGCTCTACGTTCTCTGTTTCATAGGAATTAAGTTGCAGGCACCTGTGGCTCCCTCTACCTTCCTTCCCAGGCTACACCCCAGTCCTGGGGCAGCTGACTGGTGCCCAGCTCAGGGAGGAAGCAATGGACATCTGGTTTGTGGCACTTCAGTGCATCCCCTAAGCATCCAACCAGGCACCTCCACCCCCCACTCAGTTTGCCTCTTCCCTGAAATTCTTCAGGGCACAGAAAATCTTCTTTCACTTCTTCTTTGCTCCTGAGAGTCTCAGGAAAACTCTCAAAGGGTGTCTTTCAAACAAGGCTGCATATTGCCACCCTGAATCCATTCCCCCTGAAATGCTCTAATGCCAGCATAGAGCCAGGGAACTCTGAGTGGCTTTGCTCGGCTTTCCTGGTAGAAGATCATGTGCCTCGTCAGACCTTAGCCTCTGTTGGAGAGTAACCCACTTCAAGGCCTGTACTTGGCAAAGAGAAGTTAAGGAAAGAGTCTCTCAAGTGTCCATTGGCATCTCGGCCTCTTTTTTCAGCCCCTTTAATATTTTCCCCAGCTAGAAATATCTTTGCAGGAGAAAGGTTCCTGATTCTGATGGATTTAGTAAAACCTGAGAGCGCTTAGGTTTTAGGGCAGCACTGTACAGTAGAACTTTCTGTGATGATCATCATGTTCCATGTGAGCTCTTCCCATTTCAGTAGCCATACCATGTGTATGGTGTGACTGATGAAATGAGGATTTTTCTTTTATTCTTTTTTTTTTTTTTTTTTAAGAGGGTTTTTTTTTTTTTTTTTTTTTTTTTTTTTTTTTTTAACATTTTGCCATAGGATGAGTACGCTCGCTGGAGAGAGATAGAGAGAGGGAAATTGAGAAATCACCCCCAGAGAGGATGGCCACACCACAGTCCCTTCCTCCATTCTCCTCTCTGAATTGTGGGCATGCACCCAGTGTGATTTTCAAGTTGTCAGGTCCAGGACTCAAACTGCAATAGGCCATGTGGGACTCCAGCACCTTAACCATCACACCATCTGCTGGCCTCCTGAGGTTTCATTTTGATTGATTTAAATTTGTATGACTCATGTGGCTGACAGATACCATGTTGGGCAGCACAGGTCTAGATTGGTTTAAAGGTCAAAACCTAGTGTCAGGCCCAGCTCTGGAGCACAACACACACGTGCTGCATAGATGGAGCTGGGTCCCATGTCCAACTAGGATTCTGCTCCAGGTACCAGTTGAAAACCATGCCAGGTGTGCATGCACATGCCTAGGATTCTGATGGGTGGAGATAGGAAGTAAAATGATCCCCCTCCCCTTGTGCATGCATGCTCTAGAACTTAAAAAAAGAAGAAAAACATCTCTGTTTTCTGCATTGTGCTGGGACAATGGATCCCTGAAGCCAAGATGGAATATATCCTGTCTGCCCAGGTACAAGGGAATACATAGATCTTAGAAGATGCAGGCTAGAACACATCAGTTATGACTTCAGAATACTCTCCTACCATAAATACATAGTAAATGTGTGGCAATACTAGTCACTAAATAGTAAATATGCTTATTTACTATTTAAATACATAATAAACTATTACTATGTATTAATATTTACTATGTATTTGTGGTAGGCAAGCTGCACAAGTTAATTACTGGGTAGCCCAGAACCTACACTGCCTGTGTCTTAACCATGACAGACAGTACTGAGGCACTTTGGAAGGACCGCAGGTATCCTTGGAACCTGCTTTGCAAACCACTAACATAGCTCATTTTTGCAAAGACGGTCCGAGAGTCAGGTGTGCCACACTGTTCAGAACTTTCCCCTATGCTTCATAATCTTCTCTAGTGTTCCAACCCTGATGCTAGGCTATGCTAGGGAGAGTCCCCTGGAAATAATTATTTCTTCATCTCCTGCTTTAGCGCTGCATATAGTAGGGCATCTCCAAGTCAGCAATGGGAAAGACAAACTTGTCAAGCTGGCCTTTGTAGGATGTGAGAGACCTCAGACAGAAATAGTTTCCACACCTCTTTCTACTCTGGCTCTTCCCCTTCTTTCTCTTTCCCCTGTATACATGTAGGTAGCAGTCCCTATGCTCCTGGTCCATGCTTTTGGAGATGCTAAGGATATTCTGAATGCAAAAAAAGCCTCAATCCTTAAATCTCCCTAACTTGTATTCTAAAAGAAGAAGTTCTGTGTTTAAGTCAAATTAATTCTGGTTGTGATAACAAATGAATTTCTTACAGTGTATAATGATTCAAACTGACGATGATTTCTCTCTCTCTCCCTTTCTCTCGATGGCTTACCTCCAAGTCATGATTAAGAAACACAAACTCCCTAAACTCCCTCGCCCAGGTAATGATTATGAGCGATGATTAAGAGCTCTACCGTCTTTAGCAGGAGCCTTCCTAGGTGTAGTGCTGGCCTTGACTGCAGCATGGGAAGTCAAACCAGGGAGTTTTTAGAGGACAGGCCAGGCCAGACACACAGTTTCCTCTCACTTCTCAGTCGTATGATCTTGCTAACTGCTTGGGAAGCAGGAAAATACAGTGTAGATATCTAACAGAAAGAAAAGGAAAAGGATTTGTCAGATCGCTAGCCACCCTTCTAAACCAATGTTCAGCAGACATTTTCTGTAAAGCGCTGGGGAATAAAATAAATATTTTAGGTTTCACAGGTTATATGGTTGTGTTTCAACTGCCCACCTCTGCTGTTGTACTCTGAACTTGGCCATGGACACCATGTAGAGAAAATGACAGGGCTGGTCCAATCAAACTTCATTACACAATCAGACCGTGGCCGGATCTGGCCCAAGGACTGCAGTTTGTCAGCCTCCATCTAGCCCAGGGAAAACACTTGTTCCCAAGCAAAACACAGAACAAGAACATTTTAGACTATTTGCAAAGAACTGAAAAAAGTACATCTATTTTCGCTGAGTGCTGGAGGCAGTGAAAGAAAATGGATTAAGAGGACACAAGAGGAGTCAGGGAACATATTTAATTAATCCTTTATAAAATAGAAATGTTTTCATCTGTGCTTCGAAGGAAAGGAGTGCTAGCTATATAGAGGACTCTTATTAAAAATGTAGATTTCAGGGAACCAGCAGTTAGCGTAATGGCTATGTCACTGGACTCCCACGTAGTCGACCGCGGTTCACGTCCCAGACCCAGTGGCTTAAAACTCACGCCGGGCGTGTGTGCGTGCGTGCCCAAGATCCCGAGAGGAGAATGGAGGAGAAGGGATTGCGGTGTGACCTTCCCCTCTGGGGGGTGATTTCTCGCTTTCTGTCTCTACGTCTCTCTCTGTCTGTCTGGCGAGCGCACGCGCCCTATAGCGAAAATCTCTCAAAAAAAAAAAATGTAGATTTCAGGGGCCAGGAGGTGGTATGGTGGTTAAGGCACTGGACTCCCACATGGCTGCCCATGGTTTGAGTCCCAGACCTGGCAGCTTGCCTTCTCACTTTCCCTCTCTTTCTTTCTCTGTCTCTTTGGTGAGCGCACATGCTCTATAGCAAATTTTGAAATAATAATAAATGAAATTAAATAAATGACTATTTAAAGAAAATGTAGATTTCAGGATTCAACCCTCAATATTTTGGGGATGAGATCTAGGAATATGCATTTTAGATATGCCTTCTTGCTGGTTTTAAACAAATGGTAGAGATGATGGGTGACCACAATTTACTAAATACTACCACGCCATATATTTTTTCTGATTTTTGTGGACATGACCACTTACAAGCCCATGGAATTCACAGGAATAAGATACAGTGAATGCTCAAAGCCACTGACCTAGGTAAACTTGATCTTTTTTTTCTCCCAAGAAAATCTTAGAATGCTGTGAGTGTTCTTGCAGATCTTTCTAAGGTTTTTATAAGTGAATTAACTCAGTATTCTAACGTATTAGCAACAAATTGTGTTATGGTACAACTCACAGTCGGATATGAAACTAGGGGCAGAGTCAAGACATCAGATAAGGCTATGACCCTGCAGGCAGTTTGGCTTCTTTTGAGCATTCCATCACTTTCTCTCCTTACCACCACCAACTAGGTCCAAGAAAGGACAATGTTCGTGATGACCAGAGAGAGGAGTTGACACAACTGGAAAATTCTGCTTCCTAATGCCATGTCAGGTCTTTTCCCCTCCTCAAATTGTAGCTACATGTTCTCCCTTTGTGGTCTGTGAGATATCTAGCCCTGTCCATAGGGTCCCTCCTGTTGCCCAGCAACCCAGCATGGGAAGAGACATGTTGGCCTGGGAGGGTCTGGGATGGCTAGCTGTCAGTGCAGGATGCCAGTGGGCACTTCAGCAGAGGCAACAGAAGGCATCCTGAATGACCTTCAGACAGTCACCGCAGGAGTGCCTAGGGAAAGGGTCCCATTTGCCAGCCATGTGTTTGTGTTCCAAAGATGAAGAAATGAAAGAGAGAAATATGCCTTCTAGCCCTTGCTCTCATCTAAAAATGGCCATATGAATTGGTGGGGACGTTTTAAATCCCCTCAACGAGAAGACTCCAAAGCACTGAAGAATGGAAAGAAAATCATGAATTGTGTCCCTGCAGTTCACCGTCCAAGTCAGAGATGCAAAAGAGAGAATGGTTTTAAATGTCTCTCAGATTTTTTTTTTTCTAGTAAAGGGTAGGGGTCCTGTGCTCAGGCCTGATTTCTGGATATGGAAATTTGCACTTAACCACACTGAACTGCATGTTTCTCAAGTCCTCACCTCTGTGATGAGGCCTGGCAGCCTCCTCTCACTTGTCAGTCTGTGAAAATAGATCGCCAAAGCCAAACGCTCTTCCTCCAGGCAGCAGATTGGCAGTGCCCTGGACTTGGGTAGTGCTCTGGCAGCCAAGCAACTCAACTCCTTGGAAAAAGAAGCTTTTATTTTTATTTCAGTGCCCTTTTCAGGTTGGTAAAATCTGTGCATTGAGAAATCCAAGCCTACAGGGCCTGGCATAGGTGTGGGTTCCCTCCCCTACTGCATTCATGAGACTGCTCAATGACTTAAGGGCACATGACAGTCACTTGGGGAGCTTGTTTAAAATGTGATTGGGGCCAGCAGGTGGCGTGGTGGTTGGGGCTCTGGACTTCCGTATGGCTGATCATGGTTCAAATCCCAGACTTAGTGGCTTGCTTTTTCACCTTCCCTCTTTCTCTCTCTCTCTCTCTCTGTCTCCCTCTGGTGAACATACATGCCCTGTAGCAAGCTAAAAGATAATATAAAAATTAAAGAAAATAAAAATAAAATGTGGTTATGGGGCACCACCCCGTTCTGACTCTGCGGTGTGGGGTGCGGCCTGAGAACTGGTATTTACTCAAGCTTACCTGGTGATTCTTATGCAGGCAATATAAGTAGGAAGCACACAGACACTGGCAGGTCGGGGAGAGGTGGTTCTGGTTTGGAATTGCTTCTTGAAGATTTGTGGGTATAACCATAACCCCACCCAACGATGGAATCTACTGATCCCAACAGCCTGTATTCACAAAGGAGTATCTTGTCTGATTAGAATTTTCCTCCTGCTTAAATCCATTTTCCTTTCTTTGATTTTCAGTGGTTCCAGGTTACTTCTCTGACTCCTTCTCATAAACACAAATAAACCAAACAAAACTTTGGAGATGCTTGAATATACGAAGTTGTTCCTTAGGCCTTTTCCACCTAATTGACAAAATTGCTTCACTGACAACCCAGACTGACTTCCTGTAGATAGACTTCCTCTTAGGACCACTCATTCATACCATTTTTGCCACCTTTCTCAGAGTTTCTGCTGCAGCACACCCTGGGAGGTCACAATTTCTGTAGGAAGTCAGCCCCGGTGCTGTGCAGAGGCTCATGGGAGGCAGCTAACTCTGAGATGCTGACTGCAGATGGTATGTGGTTGGTCCTACGCTGACCAGCCTGTGGCAAGCAAGGACTGCCACAGGTGTTATACATGGTCCCCGAACTGGTATGATGGCCACTTTGCTTTCCTTAAAAGCGTCCTTTGATGAGAGCTACCTGCATTTTCAGGCCTATGCCTTTCCTACCCATTCTGTCCTACTGCACTTCGTAGCTAATTCCCCAGCCCAATATGAGCTAGGTCATTAAAGGAGCAGAAGAATGTTCCAGAAAAGTCTGGAGTGGATCCTGAGCAGGTAGATCACAGAGGATGCATGAAACATTCTGCTCTGTCTACCTCATAATACGGCCACAGGTGTCTCCAAGTCTAATTCAGGCCTTACTACCTGGGCCACAAGCTGGTCCAACATCTTTCCAGGCTAACCAAGTAGAACCACACATCTAAAGGTGGATTGCAGGACGAGTCACACGAGGTGCTGAGTTTATTTGAATACTTAAAGAATTTCTCTTCAAGAAAGCTTGAGTTTTGCAGTGAAAATTTACATTTTGAGAGACAGCACAGTATGGAGCTTAGGGACAAGACAGGGCTGAATTCAAGCCCCAGCTAGCTGTGGTGACTTTGGGCCATTACTTAGGCTCGCCAGGCATTGTGGTGTCACAAGTGGAAAACTGATACCAACAAAAATAATTAACATGGATTGAACATTTACTATGTTTCTAACATCACATAAAGTGCTTTACATAATTTTAAATTTTAAAAAAAATTGCACCACGTGTGTAAGGTATAGACTACTGTTTGTCCCATTTCACAGATGGAAAAACTGAGGTACAGAGACGAGCAGAATCTGTGACTCTTCACATGTCCTTAGCCCTGAGCTAATACTGATCCCTATTTATTGCGCAGATTAAATGAAATCTGTATGTGAGTACTGAGCGCCACTCTTAGCACACTGTGCTCAGAAAAGGATAACTACATGTATCGTGTGTGCTTAATGGACAGGTCCATCCCACACGGAGTGATTTCTCAACTTATTGGAACGGATGCGACTAATGAAGAATGATGGTTTGAACTATCGGTTATACTAAACTTGTGCATTTTGTTCCTTCCCCTGGGGAGGCTTCCTGGATCCAGAAAATTCACTCCACAGTAGTCGGCATGGTACCTCAGCTGCCAGCCATTTCACCCATTCGAGTTGAATTTCTAAAGCAGAAGTGTTACAATCTGTGTGTACCTCTGCTTCTGTATCAGAAGAAAGTTCTTAGGACAGGGGCTGTATTTACTGCTCTGTCCTCCCGGGTCTTAACCAGGAGACGCTTGCTTGCTGACTGTCTGCTTTTACCTATTCGTCACTCAGTGGGAGACTTGGGGATTTGTCTTAGTGTCTAGAACCAAATAGTTGAATGACAATTATGGGATATCAAATTAAAACCTTGTGAAGACATTTTCTGGTTCCCTAGTCTGCTGCTGGATCCCACTGGCCCTTGTGAGGCAGCTGAAGGAGACTTGGCCAAGAGAGGAAAGAAGACAAGCAGAGATGAGACGGGAGGGAGAGAAAAGAAAAAGGAAGGAAAATTCATAGACAGAATTTTTAAGCTGGAAGATCTTTAGAGAATGTCCAGTTCAATGTCCTAATTCTATTAATAAGATAGAAAAGGTCCAGAGAGGCTGGTCACACAGAGCTACACAGCTATGAGTAATGTGTCATGTTTGGACAACTGCAGCGGAAACTTTCCTCTAGCATGCCCCTGTTTTCACAAATGCATGCATACTTCTAAATTCTGGGTTTTGGAGCCCCACTGCTGACTGACCCCTAGAACTCAGAAATCCAGACCCTACACAGGTGCATACAGCCATTAACACACACCTGCAGGAGTTTTCCTGTTGGATATAGGGTCACCAGATAACACTCCTAGGACCTGCCCTTGCAGGAGCCTCTATGTCCTGAGCATAAAAACAGCCACCTGAGAGAGGGAAGAGAGGCAGGAGTGACAACTACCATGACAAGGGGATAGGCCAGAGCTGCTCTTTTTTTGTCCTTTCCTAATACACACAAAAGCAATGCTGGACCAGATGTATCTGCTCATAATAAGTGTGTCTTTGGTTTTTGTTCGGCTCATTGGTTTGCCATTTATTTTTTTATGAGTGGGTAGTCTTTCTCAATAACTAGGTTTTGTTTTTTGCCTCTTGTAGAAATTTCATTCTGTAGCCTACCGAGTCATCACAGCCCTCTTAGGGTGCTTGCTAACCTTCCTGCAAGTGCAGTACGCCGCCTTCTCTGCCCTGTTCCCCTCCCTTCCGATTAGCCCTGAAACACTGTTTTCCAGCTCAGAGGAACAAAGGAAAGCATGTGTGTCTGCGTGAGGGAAGCTAGCTTGATGTTCACCTTGAACTAGCTCTTTGTTGTCTTAGATGCCAACCGAAGGAAAGCCCTGGCTATTGCTATTCCTTTGTCCTCTTCCATCTCACCAGTACTTATAGTTTCGTGGTTGTCATCAAGTTTAAAAAATTCACTATGTACGTATAGCTAGAGACAGAGACAGAGAAAGAGTTCGTGGGAAATGTGTATGATGAAGAAACCATGTATAAATTTCACATTTTTTTGGCAAAGTAAAGTCATACTTCAATTCCATTTTTCTATGAAAATTTTGATATGTCAGGTGATATTCCCAAATAAAAATATTTTCTAGTGTGATTCCGTCTTTGTGAATCATGTCATAAAGACTATGGTCACTATATAAAGTGTGTCTTGAAGCTTTGGGATATCAAAATTAGAGCCTGCCTTCCATCCTTCCTTTCTTCCTTCCTTCCAACAAAACACTCTGTGTAGTCTAATCCCTATTGGCAGCCAGGCCTTTAGAGTTTTGCGTGGCATTTTATAAATCTTCTACTCTTTTCCTTCATCCACTCAATGCAGTGCTATTGTACTCAGGGATAGAGCGTGGACAAGACAGGCAGTCTTTATTGTTGGAGCTGGTGGTGCAGGAGGTAGCAAATATATAAATGAGATGCTCTGGGACAAGTGGATGAGAAACTGGAAAAGGCAAATATGAGGAAGAGATTAGGGTTTCATAACTGTCCACTTAAAGGTCTGGGGCACACCCTCTGAGGGGTGAACATTTGGACAAAGGCTTGAGTAGGAGCCAGCCTTGCCAAACAGATCAGTCACCGAGGAACCACCTAGGACTCTGGACCACCTGTTTAGCCCAGATTTAACTCCATGTGAGTCTCTGCACCTCTGAATGGTGTCAGAGGCAGAGGTCAGCAGCTACTGGAAGTGAAGTAACCCAATCTTGGGCACAAGTCAGCCTTTAATAAACATCCAGGTAGCCCTTTGAAAAACAAAACCCGTGGTCAGGTCTCCTAGAGCAAGAAGGGTCAGGTTTCAGTTTTAATTATGAAACCAAAGAGATGTCCCTGTGTTCATCCCATTTTGCCAAATTCAACTTCCCCCACAACAGGGTTTCCTGTCTCAGGTCCTGCGGAACATGGTGTTGGGGGCGGGGGTGGAGCAGGGAAGTCCATGTGCTTACCTCGCGCAGGTACTGGCTATTCTGAGTTAATGCTGAGCATGGAACTTGAGTTGGATGGGCTCACGAATGGTGGGATGGAAGCAGAGGCCCCAGGTGCAGTGTGTAAGTGTGTGATGAAAAGCATGGGGGAGGTGGGGACTAAGTCACTGGTGGTTAGAGTTCACATGTGTGGGCTGCCACTTAAATTATGACATCACAAAAGGATGGGACCCCTTTCAAGTCCAGGAAAATGAATGTTTTTTTTTTCCTTTGCTCCATTTCCACACATGTGGAAGCCTCTGTTAAACACAGGCAGAGCAGTACAGTGGTGATAGAGGCACTGCAGCAATTGCTCCCCTTTCGATTGTCTAAATAGTTGGTGTACATTATTTTGCTTAAGTGTGGCAACTCGTATTATTATTATTATTATTTTAGAGAGAGATTTTTTGTTGTAAGGCTCATTACACTCACCAGAGAGACAAAGAGACAGAAAGCAAGAAATCACCCTCCCAGAGGGGATGGCCACACTGCAATCCCTTCTCCTCCATTCTCCTCTTAGGATTTTGGGCATGCGTCTGGCCTGAGTTTCAAGGCACCAGATCCAGGACTCAAACCGCAGTTGGCCATGTGAAAGGCCAATGACATAACCACTTTGCCATCTGCTGGTCTCAGTGTATCAACATTTTAACAATGGGTAGGAGTACTACTCCCATTTTATAAATGCAGAAAGTGAGACTCACAGAGGTTCCATAACTTGCTCGAGGTCATTCCGTAGAAGGGCAATGGCCGGAAGTCATCCCAAGTCTGACTTCAGACTTTGTTCTTCACAAGTGGGCTCTATTGCCTCTGTGTAGACACCAAACTCACCATCACAAGACAGACTGAAAGAGGTGACCTACCATCTAAAAGGCGTTTCTGAGTGATTTCTAAAGGTATTTGATACGGGCAGCTTTCCAGGACTAGTTCAGTTGTTAGTGGTTTCATGAAGGAATAAGTGGCACTCGGAGTGGGGGTGGGAAACGACAAGAAAGAGACACGGTGGAGAACAATTTCCAAGACTGGATCTCTTCTTTATTTGACTCCAGTAAATTTTAACGAGGCCCTTAATGAAATCCCAGTGCTTAGCAGAGCCTCCACATTTACAAGTTTCGGGACTTGGGGCGGAAGAGGGAACTGGGAATCCTGGCACTGAGCTCAGTCCTGCTGCCCTTTCATCGCAACACTGTAAGAACGTGCATCACATGTGGGCGGGACGTGCCTGCCCGTAAAGCAGCCCAGAGTCCCAACACTGACACAGGCGGGCCCCATCCTTCCAAGTGGCGTCTCTGCAAGGACATACCCGGGTTGATGGCTACCAGTCAGCCAGGTCCTGAAAAGAAATACTCAGACAGTTATCACAGGTCAACAGAGATTCATGTCACTTTGCTTTAGAATCATTACAAAATGTCCCCGTGGTGATCATCAAAATCTTTGTCTCATTCACCAATCTAGAAGATACCCCTTTGCACACCCAAAAATGGCTTCTGTCAACAGTGAAGACTTATGATTTGTTTTCACTATTTATGAGATAAACAATATTTATAACATGTTAAGGTATAAAGAATAAAAAATGACAAGGAAACTGGTTTCTTTCTTCCAATACCCTTGTTTAATGAAAAGTCTGTAAAGTCCCCTATAGAGAATTAAAAAATGAAATGCTTATCAAAGTGGACAATGTTATACATGGGACTTCCCAGGATCATATTCTTTATTTCCTACGAGGTACTAAACAATACAAAAAAAAAAAAAACCAGCTTTTGTAATGGTGAAAACAACTGCAGCCCATTTGCTGACAACAGCACCAGGTAACTTTTCAAGTTCGGTTGTTTTTCCTTTGCTTTTGACCTGTGCTCATAAGTAAAGTCTTTAGGATGTTTAAGATCCTGAGCTCTGACAGAGTGAGTCCCCCCCCCCCCCCCCCCCAGCCAGGCAGATGGCTCCCTCAGTGTGCTGGTCACTGCATTCCTCTGCCTCATCCTCTCAAGGGTCTATGACCACCCGGCAAACCTGGCCTCTTTCTTTGCACTGCTCTCTTCTCCATAAATCTTGGTCCACACCATCCTCTTTGCGCTGCAGAGGAATCAGGCATCTTTTCACTTGTAGGTGGGTGTTGCCTGGCCTGGAAACCCATGAACCAGAGATTTAGTGGCTAGGCCTTTACAAATCTTCCTAGAAATCACGAGCAACAGAGACTTGCGTGGTCACCTCACAGAGCAGAATTGTTTCATAGGTCTGGCTCTTCTCAAGAGAAGTGATCTGGAATCAGGCATGCTTAAAACTTCAAGGTTCACAAGAGCTTCTGAGAGGTATTTTGGAACCGAACTCAGTGATTTCATTCCCGGGACACTGGAAGCTAAGCCAAGCTGGGACTGAGAAGCAGTGAAGGGTCCCGAAGCAGAGCTGGGCTAGAAGCTGGAGCATGTTTGTATTCCAGCTGTGCCCATACAGACTCAGTGTGTCCAGTGGGCTGAGCTTCCCTGGGCCCTGTTTCTTTTTCTGAAGGTAATTACTCATACTTCTTGTCCTGCTAGATTATTGAGAGAATCAAATGACACAGTCTATGTGAAGGGGGCTTCATAAACTGTAAAGTGCTCTAAAAATAAAAGGTATAGATTTTAGTCTATACCATTTTGTCAATGTAGCTTCTACTTCAAGTCCGACTACAGCTGCCAGACTTAACAAATGCTCTGTACTGTATCTGGCAACCTGTGCTCTGTCCCCCCAGGCCACTCAGAAACTATGGCAGTAATTGTTTGGGTTCCACCCTCCATCTGTGCCAAGCACTCATGCAGTGTCTAAGGCAGCAACCAAGCAAGTGACTTCTAGGACAGCCCTGACTTCTGTGTGGCACTATTAGGGCCCACTGCTCTGTCTTCACACTGCGGACCTGAGGGGTTTTTTGCAAAATCATCTCTGGTTCTGTGTTTGCCTAGACATACCACACATCTATTTCTTTAGGGGGTCTTGCTCTGACCAGAATCATGAGGTCGGGTCTCCTGGAGAAAGTGCCTAGCATTTCTGAGCTCACAATCTCTATGTCTTTCTCTCCTTACCCTTTTTCCCTCAGCCCAGGGATATTTCCTCCTACACTGGGAGAAAGCCAAGATAGAGAGGGGCTTCTTCCCACAAATCTTTTCTGTATTTGTAAATCATACTGGCTCAACTCTGGCCAGGGAGTCTTGCCTGTGACTTCTGCTCTGTAAGATACCATCCCTGAGGCTACAAAGACAAGGAAAATTGGCTACTTGCTCCGGGTAAGAGAAAAAAAAGGAAAAAATAGATGAAAAACAAATATAAAGTAATAGCTCAAAATATGTTCCAACCATAATGAAAATAAAATTCACCTACCATGTATTCTAACAGACTATATTGTGGAATCATTTGGTTGGTCTTCTGCTGCCCTACAGTTGTAGTTGGGAGAAGGGATAGGCCCATACTTTACCATGTCTCGTGTCTTACCTGCAATAACATGTTCAATGAGTGTTCATTGAGCTTGTTTTGGTGGCTCACAGCTACCTAGTAGCTGTTGGAATATAGAATCAGGCAGCTGCAGGGGTTACCACTCTCTGGATCCTGAGCACCTTTCAGGAAAGCTGACTGCTCTCAGTGACAACAGCAGATCAAGTATTACCTCCCCCTGTGTATTATGGGTTTGCTCTCATCCGCAGGGCCATCTAAGAGACACTGGGAGCTTGTACAGAAAGGCAACCTGGAAAGGAGCTGTGGCTACCCAGAGTGTTTGTGGTTTGGCAAGGATGGGAGAGGGTGTTTGTAAACGGACTCCCCCATGTGACATTTGGCATCATTTCCACCTAATGACATCTTTCCAAGAGCCTTGCAGAGCTTGTGGGCTGACTCAACCAAATTATGATCACCCAGAGACACTGCTTCATGGACTCTGGAAAGTGAATTAGCAGGTTGTTGGTCTCCAAAGGTGCAGGAGAATCTGTGGATATAGAAAGGAAGTTTCGAGAAGAGGAAAACCATGTTCAAGTTTAATACCTTTTGAAGACCTTTTGCTCTAGCTTTGTCCTCTGAGGTGGTATCTTCTTCGTCCTAATTAACTTCTCCTGATTTCTTTGGAGAAAAAAAAAGGTTTAATGTTTGCTTGTATTGAAATGTCCCACTGGGTGCCGAAAGGTCAGGCTGTCGTGCAAATCCCAGCTCAATAACTCACAGCTGTGTGACCTCAAGCATGTTACTTAATCTCTGAACTTCAATGTCCTCCCCAGTTCAATGCGAGTAACAACAGCACATACATAGGTGGTTTTGAGGTCTACACGAAAAAAATGTGTTCAAGTGTTTGCTGTAGTATCTGGCACATAGTAAGGGTTCAGTGAATATTAGTGCTTTGGGGATAACTTATCTATAAGGCAAAGGAAGGGTAGGAGTATTTCTCATTTGAAAAGGGGGAATGGTAAGAGACAGAGAAGAGAAACCAAGTGGTTTGTCCAGACTTACAAGCTGAGTAGGGAGCTTGTCCTTCTTTATATAAAAGGCGGACCTGGCCAGGCCAGCCCCGGGCCCCCTCCTACCCACGCAGGAGCTCTGTGGATTTCACTGGCTCCTTCTGAATGCCAACTCCAGCCATCATTGTTTCCTCTCACCTCTGCAATCCCCCGTGTGGCCAGGACCTCAGGCCACATTCCCTTGTGCTCTTCCTTGTCTTACAACCTCTTCTACCCTCATAGCCCCAGACTGTGTGGTGAGCCAAAGACGAGAGCCCACAGAAACCATTTGCTTTGTTTCTGAAGAGCCTAGACAGCCTCTTCTCTAGAAGACCCCATGTTTTCTCTAAGTTCACCTTCCATGTATTCTTATATCCTCCATATTTTGGAATCACATCCTTCAATAGGTTATTTCTTTTTATCACAAAGAATTGATCTTGGAGCCAGCAGGTGGTGTGGTGGTTGAGGCATTGGACTCCCACATGGCTGACCTTGGTTCAAGTCCCAGACCTGGCAGCTTGCTTTCTCACTTTCCCTTTCTCTCTGTCTCTCTCTGGTGAAATTAAAAATAATAATAATAATAAATAAAATTGGATAAATAATTCTTTAATTAAAAAAAGAATCGATCTTGTTCTTATTTTTTTAAGTTTGTTTATCCCATCAATGAGAGGGACCAAGACAGAGAAATAGCACCCCCAACAG